ATATGACCGTTCAAAGATTCAATGGTATTCCATACACTTAAGCTTTAAAGCGTTTCATCCAGGTCGCCAGTAGCAAACAATGGAGTGTGCTCTGCTGGACAAACTACGTAATTACACCATTTACAAGCATTTTATCTGCGTTTTATGTTCTGTAAAAAAAAAATTCATATCGGTGGCATATTCGCTGATACCGATATATCTGCGACAGGCTCATATCGGCCGATAAAACAGGCAAAACAAAATATCAGTCGGGCTCTAATTGCAAATTCACATTCCGCATTTCTGACATTATAACTCACAATGATGAGTTTTTTTCTTTCAATTCTGAGAAAAAGTCAGAATCAAGAGATATAAACGAGTTAATTCTTAGTTCATTTCACACAATTCTGACTTTTTTCTCAGATTTGCAAGAATTGTGAGATATGAACTCAGAATTCTGAGAAAAAAAGTCACAAGTACCTTCCATAAGGTCAGAACACACTCCACACGGGCAGATTTTGCCATATTTCGAGCAGCTGTTGGCTGCTGGGGTCAAAGGTCACTGTGACCCTGAGTGAGGGTATGCAGCTTTACTTCATTGTTCTTTCTCCCAGAGGTCAGTAATGAAGGCCCAATTGAAAATGCTCTGTGTATTGACCTGCTATTAAAGATTGTTGTGATTATGAATGACTGTAATTGGGGGGAATTAAAAAGCATGCACTTGTATTTACAGGAGGCTTTTTTGCTTTTGCGCTTCAGCAGTTCTCTGCTACCATTCTAGAACCGGCTGTTCTTCCAAGAAAAAAATGTTTGGCCCAGCGGAAAGTCTCAGAGCACGTTTTTGGGTCAGATTGGATCCTTTGTACCAAAACATGTCAAGCTCGGGTCTCTATGCAACAGCTGAACAGCTAAACAGATACAGTTTAGCTGAAAGATGTGATGCTAATGAGGCTCCGGAAATATCGGTGAGGTTTGTTTCACCGCAGGCTCATGCTGACAGACCTTTGGTCCATTTTGCATTTAGATTTCATAAAACTTAACCAATCCCAGTTCGTTCGGATCTCTTTAGGGTACAAATAACTGCAAAGCAATCTCAGTCTGTGAGCGGTTATGCACTAAACTACTAGCAGAATTGTATATAGACTTTGTCCAGATTTCTGTCCATCCAAAAGTAAAAATTACTTAATTTCTCAGACAGTTTTGTGCTCATGGATATCTATCTGTCACTCCACTGTTCACAATCAGGGTTATTTTAGTATTATCTATTTACTATTACACTTTTATTTATATTTAAAATGAGCTTTTATTTTTATACTTTGTTTTCATTTTAATTTTAGTTAAATTTTTTGTAATCTTGTATGTGCTTTTGTAATTTTTATTAGTTTTTGTTTATCTTACATTTTAATTTTAAATTGTATTTAATTTTATTCTCGGTTCAGTTTTAGTTCATATTTATATTATTTCTAGTTAGTAATTTTAGTGCTTTAACTTAAACTAAATGAAAAATTGTGCCTTGGCCACTAATTGAAATAAGTTTGTAATGAGTTTTTCTTGTTATTTTCTTTTATTTCAATTAACAAAATGTTTTAATAGTTTTAGATAACCTTCGCACTTTGCCGTTTATTTCCCATTTCCTCCCATAAAGGGATGCATTTTTGAGTAAAACAGAATATTTAACAATAAAAAAAGGTAGAGTTATACATTAGATTTCACTGTGAAAAGTGAAGGTGATTGGGGGAGGGCTTAATGATGTCTTGGTGATGTCAGCGAAAATGAAAGTCATTTCAGACGTAGAGAAAGTAGACTTTTGACTTTTTCAGGCATTGCAACATCTTGAATCAACACTGAACTGATTTGAGCTGCATAATGGCACCATTGTCTTCTGTAGAGCTGCTTTATAGCTGAAATTGATTTCATAACTAATGCATTTTGCAACATTAACACTGTTTATTACTGTGAAGCTGCTTTGAAACAGTCTGTATTGTATAAAGCACTATGTGCATGTGACATTATGAAAGGCTGGGACTACGAATTGCTTGTTTTAGTTGATCGGCAGGTCCATGATGTCCGAGCGTTCGATGTACTTCCTTTTTCAACTGAACATTTAACAAGCACGACTCTTAGAAATAACAGCGTGCTCGACCAACACTATGCATGTTTCAAATGACTTATGTAAATGTTCAGGCAGCTTGCTCAAAACCCGGCCCGTGCGGTGACATTATCCCACAATTCCATCCCAACGTTCCCCAAGGACGGCTCTCTGCATTCAGAACATTCTCCATTCAGATCCTAACCACAGGAGTGTGTCTAGAGAGCAGCGAGGAGCACGCAGGGGTGGTGGTGAAATTATGCTTTTATACTCAGCGTCTTGTGCCAAGCCGGGGTTTATGCTAGAGCTGATGTACTAGGAGAGAAATTGAATCTTCTCCCAGACTTAATCCTCAATCGCTCCACCTGTAATGCATTTTGAACTCACACGTTCAGTTCCCCCACACAGTTTCATGCTTATATTTTCAGCCTCTTCTGAACCCAGAGTGTCTGATTATTTATCACAGGCCAGCGAGATGTTTCAGACAGGCAGTTTTAAAATGTTTCGAGACTTGCAAATAGATTTAAGTGTAAACACCTCTGTGTCTGCGTACAATTATTCTTATCTCATGTATAACTTTGGCTTGAGCGCGTCTTTCCGATGGAACTGAATGTTCGAAAACGTCGTGACACGTTCGTACAGTAAACAGGCTCGAAATGGCCTCAGGTTAATGCATTTCGGAGATCAATCTGGAGTCGTTACGAAGGTGAGCAGAAAACATTTAGACGTTTAGAGAGGACAAAATGTTAAATATTTGATCATTGCATCTTATCGCTTCGAAAAAGTAGTGCCTTTTATTTGCTAACCGGGGAATGGCTTTAGCATCAAGTGGATTTTGGCCACTTATTTGCAACTAAGAATATTTTGTGGTATACTGATGTGTCCTTTGTACTTTAGCCCATGCAGGGTCATTATACTAAAAATAAAATAAAATAAATTTTTCTGAGACATTCTGCTGCTTGAAATAAAATAAAATCAATTATTTATTTTATTATTTATTTTATTAAATAATTATTTAATTTCAGTTATTTAACTGAAATTAAATAAAAGATTCGTCATTTTAATTTAGTATAACTTGGTGAACTAAAATAACAAAAACTAAAATAATAAAAGTTAATAAGGACTTAATACAAATTTAACTTAATAGGAATAAAATTGATCAAATTTATAATAAATATTTATACACTCATGCCAAAATCTACTAAAAATGACAAAAACACAGTAAAAATACTCAAATATTAACTAAAATGAAAATGGGAAGTATAGAAATAAAATCTGATTTAAAATATTAATAAAAACTTTAATAGTAAACTCAGTGATACCAAAATAACACTGCTTTAGTCTTGCCTTTCTTCATTTTAAGACCACTTAAGCTCCTTTATACCATTTATAATATTCCATAATGACAAATGGGCTTTTCCTTCAACATATTTCCCACTTATTGCATTAACCTATGGTGACCTAACATCATAATACAGGATTTAGGCATTTGTTTTGACAGGGGCATTTCCTTATCCTCAGAAGCAGCTCTGCTGTGTTCCCACTTAGGATTTTTCCCTGCAATTTTTATCCTTATCTTTATTTTGCTGTTTGGAGGACATGACGCAAGGACTTAATATTAGTTGGCCCTCGACTGACCCGGGAACCGAGACCGGAAGAGACTGTTGCCTCTGCAGCTTTCCAAACAAGCACTCCCACATTCCCTGCAGCCGGGAAACTCGGAGCGTCACGGTGGGATGTGCATGGACGTCCATCAGACTCTTGAAATGCCTCGGCTGCCCGTTTCTGCCCAGCCAATGAAGAGATGGTCCTTAGTTCCTGTGCTGGAAACCGGTTTTCTTCCTCCTGGGAATTCTGCCCACATTAACGAGCGCCTGTGTGAATGACAACCAGATTGGGAATGCCATCATTCATAGGATTTTTGTTTGATCTCGCTTTTGCAACGATAGGGACTTGTGTTTACCAGTGAATGTTAAATAGCTAATTATATATTAGAGGAAAATTGCTAAGCAAGAACTAATAGCTATAAGAAAAACCAAATGAGGGTCATATGATTTTGTTTGATCTCAATCAGGCATTGACAAGGAAATGTTTACTGTGAATGTTAGCAAACTGTAAAATTTTACTGTAAAGTCAAAAGCTTGAATCAGATAAACACTTAAAAATCTAAAGTAATTCTTGATATCTGAGGCTAATAACTGAAGTTTTGTGGAAATAACTTACAAAGTCTTAATTAAACCAGCAGAAAAACCAGTGACAGTGACTTTCATATGAATTCTGTTTGATATTGCAAATCGTGATTTTATGCGTTAATGATTTGATATCGCAAATCGTGTTACTGAACTAAAATTTTACTGTAAAAGAAAAATCTGTCTGCAAGAACCAATACTGAAGAAAGAAAAATTGAATTAATTAAACTTTAAAATATCAAATAATACTGTACTTCATATCTGGGGTGGATAAATTAAGTTTTGTGGGGGAAAAATGCACAAATGCAAAAGATTAAACCTTATCTTGATCTTAACCCTTAATTAAATCAGTAAAAATAACTGCTAAAAATTGACATTGATTATCAGTGAATGTTAATAAACTATAAAATGTGTTATTTTCGTATTAATTTAGTTTGATATCACAGGGAATTGTGATTATCAGTCAATGTTAATGTCAACTATCAAATTCATTGTAAAAGAAAAACCAGTCAGCAAAAAAAATACCAAAGAAGAAAATAAAAAAAGTGAGACAACATTAGATAAACACAAAAAATCAATAACGTTCTTCATATCTGTGGCTAATAAATGAACATTTTATACAAATCCTTAAGTCTGCTAAAATATTATCGTTAAAGGAAAGTCAATGACAAGAAAGTGTGAAAACCCAAAGAGCGACATTTATATTAATTTTGTGTGACAACGCAGGGAATTGTGATTTTTAGTTTCATGTAGGCTACTGTAAAATTGTAGGAAAATAAGAAAAGCTGTATTCAAAAAAATTTTAGGGGTCGCATCAGGTACACGTAGTGCCATTTCACCTTTTGCACAGCACACACACACTAAAATGATAAAGTTATTTAATAGTTAGGTTTAATAAAACCATACGACTTTTTTTTTTCTAAATTCCAAATGTGAAAAATCTATTTCCCGCCAGTTAAACGGACCCCATAAACGGAGAGGTCCTGACGATGACGTCGGTGAAGGTGAGTTCCAAAAATGAAAGAGGATAGAAAGCACATGGACGCGAGCAGCTGAAATCAATAAATCAACTGACTGATGATCTGAAATATCGGGATCACCGTTTGACTGTCGATACGGAGCAACGCGCGCTCTCTGTTAAAGGAACGCCTCGCGGGCGACGGGACACTGGCCAATACGATCCAAAAGTCACGGAAATATTTGTGCAGCGAGAGTTTCCACGCGTGAAAATGATCCGAGAGAGAAACAAAGAGAGGGAGAGAGATCACTGATGATGATGATGATGGTGGCCTAGAAACATCAGGAATTCCTCGCTCCGCTCGACTGGATCTTTAAGGTAATGGGGGATTTTACGCCAAGAAAACGGGCTCGCTTTCCTCCTCCGCGCACCGCGGCTTTACTTTTGACTCGGAGGAGGATGCATTGAAGTCTCGCATGCAGTCTGAGAGTCTCTGGCTCACGTGAAAAGGAACGGCGGCTCTGCGCATTGATGCGTGTGCGCGCGAGCGCGTACGCTTACGCGTGCTCTCCCGTGACCGATGGCACTGGAAACCGTGCGCAACGGCTATGTGCGCACTTGTGTCACTCCCGCGGAGCAGGACTGCTGGCACTCGCGCTTGGCTCTCGTGTGGAGCCGTAGGAGCCTCTCCTCGGCCGCGTGCGTCGCCTCGCTGTCCGTGCTGCTCGCGCTGCTCTCCGCGGACTGGGACGCGGAGCGCGCGTGTCACTTGGTGACGCTCGCGGAACTCGCGTGGCAGCTGCTCTCCCCCGTCTTTACGCTCGTGTGTGCCTTCTTTTGGGTGGGCGTGTATCTGCTCCGCTGCGGGGTGCTCATCCGCACCGCCGTGTTCCTGCTCACCGTGTGCCATCTGGGTGAAGCGGCGGCGCAGTCGCTGTTGGATGCGCAGCAGCTGTACTCCTTTACCGCCACCGCGCTGGTGCTGCTCGCCTGCCTGGCCAGCGGAGTGCTCATGGTGGTGCGTCTGGGTCAGGGCATCTCAGTGCTCCTCTTCATCAGCATCATCAGGACCGTATCGCTGCTGTCTCTGCAGAAGGTGCGCGCCAGCTGGAGACCCTACCTGGCGTACCTGCTCGGGGTGCTGGGGGTCCTGCTGGCGAGGTATGCGGACAGGCTGCTGCCGCCGGAGCAGGGCGCATCACACCGGGAGGGATCGAGCGGAGATATTCCGGTATTTAAGAGGCGCAGGAGGTCCAGCTCCGTAGTCTCGTCAGACATGGCACAGCACGGCCAGCCCAGGAGCAAATCTCACAGGAGGACGTCGCTGCCCTGCTTACAGAGAGACCAGGTAGGGGCTCTTTATTGATCGCGCTGTTGTCGATCGCAAACTACGAAATCCGAGCGTGATCGTCTACTGTAACGGCATGATCGCGGATTAAAACGTGATCACGCGAACAACAATAACTCCGCGTCAGGACGCGCTTTAGACACTTTTTAGGCTGTGTTGCTTCTTAATTAAGAGCGCGTTTAACAAAACGACTGTCTTAGTGTTGCTATCGATCGTATTAATAAAAAATAGGTCACGCTTTATGTTACTGTTTGTTGGCATAAATTATAACGCTAATGAACTGCATGCACTTATTGCTGTTGTATAGAATTATAATCCAATCTGAAGTGTTACTTCTTATTATTATGGCGTAATGGTCATAAATCTATCTATAAAGATGTGATTTCTGTCCGTTGTGTTTTCCCCAGAGGTTTTTGTTTGTCCTGTCACTTACTTGGATACTTGGAACGCTTTCACTCAAGCATGCATTCTTAGATTTCATGTATGGCATATTATCAAGCAGGAAAGCTCATGGTTAAAGCAGTGAACTTTGACCTCTTGTACTCTATTAGGTGTGTTTTTGATTTTACAGCTGTGCTGACATGTTGTGTTATAGGCTATTTGTGCACGTAGACGAAAATCCTGCAGATGTGTATGCACTACAGTGAAGATGCATGTAGTTTACATGAATCTGAAGTTAATGTTTTTATGCATGTGTTTGTGCATATTAGAGGTATTTCTGCTACATACACACTGAAGACTGTGTTGCACGAATGTCATGGTATTTGGCTGCAATTACAGTGAAGCTGTAAGCTATGTAGCTTTTTAAAAGAATCAGTCACTATATTTTTGGTCATCAAAGCTTTTTTGCCATTTGAATCAAATTTTAAAAACAATAAATATATACATTTTGATTAGTCTCTGCATAATTATTACATATTACAATATTTTTTAATGTATAGTGCATTGTTCGGATAAAGCCAACTATACAATACTAATGTTTAAACTGTTGATTAGCAAAGTACACAAAATGTTTAGTTGAAATTATCTAATTATTGAAAAATAATACGTCCAAATAACTGCCTATTGTTAAGCATGGCGCTGATTAATTGTTAAATAAATTGCAAATGTTGTAGTGACGTTTGCAGGCTTGATTTAAGCTCTTTTATGCGAAAATAAGATGAACTTGCATTTAAAGTTTTGCATTAAATCCTGTAGTAAATTTGTAAATGAAGTGACATGGTTTGCATTGTAACAATAGATGAATTTTGCATGAATTAAATTCTTCTTCCTTTGTTATTCTCACTGGACATTTAGTGTTTTCACAGAGAAGTTGCTGCTTTTTGCTGCTTTCGCTCTTCATTTAATTTGCGCCCCCTAGTGACCATATAATTAATGCATTAGGGACCTTTTGCCTACGGGAACCTTAAAAGGAACAAAATTTGTGACGAATCCATGCATTGTCGGTGCAACACTTGTGAAATGGAAAAGAACATAGACTCCTGAGTGTGTTTTCCATGTTCTGCAACACACACACCTGGTGCACATGTGTGATGTCTGGAGTGATATTAGTTCCTATAGCGGTTTCTGTGCAGTTGTTTTATCTGTGTGGTCTGGCTGTGTAAACATGCCAGCATGTGACCCCTGCGCTGTTCATGTCGTCCTGGCTGTCTGCTCTTACAATAACCTGTGTGTCTTAATGGGCCACACAGAACAGCGAAGACGAGCCTTTGGTGTCTGTTTGACGTCAGAGTTTGGTTGGTGTGAAAGCTGTTTTCTGCGACAGGGCCGCAAACTCATGTTCAGTTTGCTACTGTTATGAAAACATGGATGCGATCACATATTGGTGATGTTAATTTGACATTAATTCGAAAGTTTGCATGCTCCTGACATCATTGCACGCTCCTATTTTTAATGCAAAAGTGGTGTGTTTGTAACTTGAATTTGTGAGACTTCAAGTATCATTTGCTTTCAGTTATTTTAACTGTACAAAAATAGTCCATTATGCTGCTTGATATTGCAAACAGGTATTTGTTATCATATGATTATGATAATATATCAAAATAATAAACACACTGGTTTGTAGTGCAAATACTTTTACCATTTACTGCACTTAGATATTTACATGGCTTATGAATCAGAAGTCTCACTTTCACACTAAACTTTAGAAATTATTTGGCAAACTAAGTATACATTGACTACAGTATAATCCGTTATTAATATTTAATTGGTTCTCCCTTGTACACTGAAAAAAAATAGTTTGAAACAATTTTCACTCTGAAATTGCTTGTAAATTTCACAAAGAAGTGGCAAGTAGCATTGAATTAAATATGAAATTTTGAAGTACAAAGACTGAAATTGTATTTTCTTCCAATAGTCTTTGTCTAATTTACAGCTTTGAATAATCATTTGATTAGTAGCCATTTTCATGCAATATCACAAATGAAACAATTGAAATGTGAAGCACATGTAAAAGTTTTACACTCTCCAAGCACAACTATTCAGTATGTTTAGAAAATAACATCAGTATGTTTGAATAAAGGGCAAATATATCAATTTTCCTTGGCTGGACATCACGTTTGGCCACTACTGTACATGATGTAGATCAAAGTAGTTCACATCAAGGTCATGAGTTTGATTCCAGAAGAAATGCATGAAGTGATAAAATGCAATGTAAGTCACTTTGGATAAAAATAGCATCTTCCAAAATGTACAGTTGCATTTATTCATTTAGCTTTTGCTTTTATAATACATTTCCTGGAAACCAAACCCATGATTTTCACTCTCAGAAAGAAAAAGGTACAAAAACTGTCACTGGGGCTGTACATTTTCAAAAGTTACTAATATTGTACCATTTAGGTTCTAATAAGTACACTTTAGGTAGAAATATGTACCTTTTAAAGTGCTAAAAATAGGTAAATAAGGTATAAAGGTGTACATTTTAAAAGGACACCATCCTTGTGACAGCTTTTTTTCTGAGAATGTTGGTGTTGCAAACATTTTTTCAATATATTTTTCAAATGCATTGTTAGGATAAAGCCTACTATAGACTAGTAATATTTACACTGTTGATTAGCAAAGTGCACAAGCTGAAAAAAAATGTCCAAACTGTGTGTTATCATCACACTCCTTTCTTTGAGCTACAGCAGATATAAGCCAGATATAATTGTTACTGTATAATTGTTATATGTTACTTATGCAAATGTGCCACAGAAGTACTATGTGAAGTCTTAGTCGAACCGAGCATCAAACTCGCATTAGTAAATCTTTTAATTTGAGTGGTTGATAAACAGGAAGTGAGCTCAGAGCGGCTGTGACCATTATCTGTCGTCCACTCAGTAGAGCACATGCCCTGGGCGCTTTCAGTGACGGACAGAAAATCATTCCCGTTATGAACATCGCTGTGTGAAGTGACTTACGTAATGGTCTTCAAATGGACTGAGAACCAGGCCTTCGCCCACTCGTCTTTCTATAGACTTGAATAACCTTATGTGGAGTTGGGATTTTAATAAGTGTGTCCCGATGTCGAATTTATGAATGGTGTGGCCTGAGCTCCTCAATCTGATACAGTACTTGCAGTTTGGACCTTTAGTTCTCAAGAACTGTTAGTCTTCTAGTGAACTAGTGCTCTAGATGATTGAAGGTTATTAAAAGTGTGTTTCTGGGTGGTAAACGGAAGCGTAGCTCACTGCATATGCCTGCGTTTAAGCACAGGTCTCCAGAGGACGGTGTTCGTGGAAAACCCCTGTTTAATGGCACGAGGAGCCGTTTCAACACGACACCTCACCGCGTGGAGCCTTTAGTAGACTTTAGCGGGTCACTGAATTGCGATTAGCCCAGGGCTGCCTGGAAAAGCTGTTCGCCGTGAGCCGGAGCCTCTGGGCAGAGCCGAGAGTATTTAAATCTGCTCTTAAAGGGGAAGTGAGGCATTTTTCAGTGTTAAAATACTTTCTCCTGTCCCAGTTTAATCAGGGTTTCTGTGGGTCTTACAGAGGCTTAATTCCAAAAAATGAAGGCCTTAGAATTGGAGCAGAAAGTCTGACATTTTTTAAAGTCATGGTATTGTGTTGCATGCACTGCAAAAAATGGAAAAATTTTCTCTTGTTTTCCCATGCAAATATCTTAACATCATTAAATCAAGGTACATTTACCTGAGATGCAAAATAAAGTTATGGAGTCTTGTTATTTTGAGAAATTGAAATTGTACAATTTGTGCTTTTAACAAGATCAAATTTGTCAACGGGGTTTAAAAACTATCTTTATCTTCGAATTAAGCTGATATTTCTGAGCACATTGGCAGATATCTGACCTTTTTTAATCATAAATTCACTTAATTTTAATAAATTCCTCAGAAAACAATACTTTTTTTTTAGTCATATGTCATTTTTACATCTATTTTGATTTAAGTTTTTTGACATTTGCACTGGAAAACAAGACAAAAATACTGCGGAAGAACATCAGTTGTGTGCAGAAGCTACAGTAATAGGTATTTACATGTTCTATAAAGCTTGAATGGATGAATGGAGCTCTGTTGGAAGTTGTATTTTCAAACTTCGAAGTGTTGCTAATATAACACATTGTGGCATTTACATTTAGAGAACATATTGATGCATTATGTTTCTCCCTTTATTACTTAAATGTCCTTTACTTGGTCTTAAAAAGGTCTTAAAGTCCTAAACGTACTTTTAAAATTGTGCACAGACAAGTCAAGTATATAATAAAACGACTTGTGCACATTTAAACATACAGAATTGTTCTTCTTGTTTAGAATTCTTGTGTTCTGTTTCTTCTTGTGATTCCAAATTTAAAAAATTTGTCTCACCAGTGCTTTTGCAAGTCGGCTACAATCTAGAATGTTTTGTGGCAGACTTTGAATATAAAAGTGCAACTTTTGTCTAGTGTGCATTAGGCTTAAGCCATTCATATTGTAGGTTGACGTGTGCACGAGTGTAAACACTGGCTCTCTAGTGCTTCAAAAACATTGCTGTGTTTGTTTGAGTGGCCCGACACATCATCTTCAG